ATAGGATATATCCATGATATTATATGTACAGAATCTCTGATATATAGGATACATCCATGATATTATATTATATGTATACTATCTCTGATATATAGGATATATCCATGATATGATATTATATGTACAGAATCTCTGATATATAGGATACATCCATGATATACATGACCTACAGGATCTGTGATATACATACTTTATAGACCATATGGCACATATATGTGATGTGCATTATAGATCCTATCTATAGGATCTATGATATATATATATGTTATATACATGATATACAATATCTATGACATGTATGTGATTTATATGACATATAATATCTGTAGGATCTTTGGTCTATATATGTTATATGAATTATATAGAATATCTATGACAGGTATAGCTGATCTATGTTATATATGACATGTATAGTATCTCTGATATATAGAATATATCCATGATATTATATTATATGTACAGAATCTCTGATATATAGAATATATCCATGATATTATATGTATAGTATCTCTGATATATAGGATATATCCATGATATTATATGTATAGTATCTCTGATATATAGGATACATCCATGATATATTATATGTATAGTATCTCTGATATATAGAATATATCCATGATATTATATGTATAGAATCTCTAATATATAGGATACATCCATGATATTATATTATATGTATAGTATCTCTAATATATAGAATATATCCATGATATTATATGTATAGTATCTCTGATATATAGGATATATCCATGATATTATATGTACAGAATCTCTGATATATAGGATACATCCATGATATTATATTATATGTATACTATCTCTGATATATAGGATACATCCATGATATTATATTATATGTACAGAATCTCTGATATATAGGATATATCCATGATATACATGACCTACAGGATCTGTGATATACATACTTTATAGACCATATGACACATATATGTGATGTGCATTATAGATCCTATCTATAGGATCTAGGATATATATATATGTTATATACATGATATACAATATCTATGACATGTATGTGATTTATATGACATATAATATCTGTAGGATCTTTGGTCTATATATGTTATATGAATTATATAGAATATCTATGACAGGTATAGCTGATCTATGTTATATATGACATGTATAGTATCTCTGATATATAGAATATATCCATGATATTATATTATATGTACAGAATCTCTGATATATAGAATATATCCATGATATTATATGTATAGTATCTCTGATATATAGGATACATCCATGATATTATATTATATGTATAGTATCTCTAATATATAGAATATATCCATGATATTATATGTATAGTATCTCTGATATATAGGATACATCCATGATATAATATTATATGTATAGTATCTCTGATATATAGGATATATCCATGATATTATATTATATGTATAGTATCTCTGATATATAGGATATATCCATGATATTATATTATATGTACAGAATCTCTGATATATAGGATATATCAATGATATACATGACCTACAGGATCTGTGATATACATACTTTATAGACCATATGGCACATATATGTGATGTGCATTATAGATCCTATCTATAGGATCTAGGATATATAGACCTAAGATACCCATAAACCTTATCTATGGCAAGTATATGCGATTGACATATTATATCTCTACTATCTTTCATATATATAGATGTGATACACACTATATCCATGACCTATGGGATCTATGGCACATATATATATGCTAGAAACAGGATATAGCATAGCTATGACGTGTAGATGTGATTGACATTATATATAACATCTATAGGATCTATGATATATATGCTATATACATTATACAGAATATTTATGACATGTATATGTCCTATGTATCAATTTATCTGGGGATGTTTCAATGACATAATATATAATATCTACAGTATCTTTCACGTATAGATGTTATATACATGATACACATGACCTATTGGATCTATTAAAAATATACATTATATAGTATACCTATGACACGTATATGTGATTTGCATTAAATATCATATACATAGGATCTATGATGTATATATGTCATACACATGATATAGAGCATCTATGACATGTACATGTGATATAAGTTATACATAATATATATATATAGTATCGATGGTGGATGAGCATACATGGTACACAGGTGACATACAATACATAGAGCAGGTACAGTATATGTAATATACGTTATACATGGTATAGATCGTACATAATGGGATGTATATCCGTGCATCCACCCATGCACTCAACCACCCATCCATCCCTCCACCCAACTATCCATCCACCCACCCACCCATCCATCCACCCACCCACCCATCCATCCACCCACCCACCCATCCATCCATCCATCCACCCATCCATACATCCACCCATCCATCCATCCACCCATCCATCCATCCATCCACCCATCCACCCATCCATCCATCCATCCATCCATCCATGCACCCATCCATCCATCCATCCACCCATCCACACACCCATCCATCCACCCAACCATCCATCCATCCATCCACCCATCCATCCATCCATCCACCCACCCATCCATCCACCCATCCAACCATCCATCCATCCATCCACCCATCCATCCATCCATCCACCCACCCATCCATCCATCCACTCATCCACCCATCCATCCATCCACCCACCCATCCACCCATCCATCCACCCACCCACCCACCCATCCATCCACCCACCCATCCATCCATCCATCCATCCACCCATCCATCCACCCATCCATCCATCCATCCATCCACCCATCTATCCATCCATCCATCCACCCATCCATCCATCCACCCATCCATCCACCCACCCATCCATCCATCCACCCATCCATCCATCCATCCACCCATCCATCCATCCACCCACGCATCCATCCATCCATCCACCCATCCATCCATCCATCCACCCACCCATCCATCCATCCACCCATCCATCCATCCATCCACTCATCCACCCACCCATCCATCCATCCACCCATCCATCCTTCTATTTATATAGAGATGTATGAATATACTGATCTGTTCATCTATCTCTCTGTCCATCTGTCCATCCACCCACCTGTCAGTCTATTCATCTATCTATGGATGTATCTGTCTGTCCATCCATCCATCATCCATCCATCCATCTATCTATCTGTCTATCTATCTGTCTGTCTGTCTATTTATCTATGTATCTGTTCATCTGTTTATCTATTTATGGATAAACCTATCCATCCATCCATCTTTCATATCTATGTCTGTCTGTCTGTCTGTCTCTGTCTCTCTCATCGATTTCCTTTTCACAAAGACCACACAACCACGCTCTCCCCAGAAACCAATGGTTTTATTCCTTCCCAGATCCCCCCTCCAAAATAAAAGCCAAATGGAGTCTTCCAAGCACCTTCGTCCAGGGAGGGTCATCAGTAAACACATGAAGAGTTGACTCTTATTATTATTATTGTTTATTGTGGTTATTTTCCAGTCCTGGGATTTGAACTCATAACCTCAAGAAGGTGGTGCTGGTCTCTGAGACGTTGGCCTCCAAGGCTGGTCCTCGACCACTTGAACCACGGTGCGTGCGTCTGGCTGGGTCTGGGGGCTCTGGGTTCCAGGGGGTGAAGGGAGAGGAGAGTCCAGGGAGTGTGGTTGGGGATCGAACCCTGATCCTCCAGATCTCAGCCTCCTCCTCCTGAGTCACTGGGGTGGATGGGTGGGTGGGTGGATGGGTGGATGGATGGGTGGATGGATGGGTGGATGGGTGGGTGGATGGGTGGATGGATGGGTGGATGGATGGGTGGATGGATGGGTGGATGGATGGATGGGTGGATGGATGGATGGATGGGTGGATGGGTGGATGGATGGGTGGATGGATGGATGGATGGATGGGTGGATGGATGGATGGATGGATGGATGGTGGGTGGATGGATGGATGGATGGATGGATGGATGGATGGATGGATGGGTGGATGGATGGGTGGATGGATGGATGGTGGGTGGATGGATGGATGGATGGATGGGTGGATGGATGGATGGTGGGTGGATGGATGGATGGATGGATGGGTGGATGGGTGGATGGGTGGATGGATGGGTGGATGGGTGGATGGATGGTGGGTGGATGAGTGGATGGATGGATGGATGGGTGGATGGATGGATGGATGGATGGGTGGATGGATGGATGGATGGATGGGTGGGTGGATGGATGGATGGATGGATGGATGGGTGGATGGATGGATGGGTGGACGGATGGGTGGATGGATGGCTGGATGGATGGATAGATGCTTGGAAAGAGGGATGGATGGATGATGGGAGCCATCATGGGATGGGAACCCAGGAGGTCGACATGCGTGAGCGTGTGTGTGAATCGTGCAAGAGGTCGGACAGACCACGTGTGTGTCTGTGATTGTTGTTGTTGTTATTATTATTGTTTTGGAGAAGGTCGTCCACTCTGGATTTGGCCAAGTCTTGGGAAGGAACCCGTGGGTGCTCGTGGAAAGATGGATGACCAAATGCTGATTCCACTAGATCGGATCTTCATTCTCTCTTTCTCTTCCTGCACATATATATCAGTCCATCCACCCATCCATCCACCCACCCATCCACTTATCCATCCATCCATCCACCCATCCATCCATCCATCCATCCAACCACTCATCCATCCATCCACCCATCCATCCATCCATCCAACCACTCATCCATCCATTCATCCATCTACTCATCCATCCAACTACCTGTCCATCCATCCTTCCACTCATCCCTCCACTCATCCATCCACCCATCCACCCATCTACCCATCCATCCACCCATCCATCCACCCACCCATCCATCCAATCATCCATCCATCTCTCCTCCCATCCACCGATCCATCCACTCATCCATCCATCCACCAATCAATCCACCCATCCACCCATCCATCCATCCATCCATCCACCCATCCATCCATCCATCCATCCATCCATCCATCCATCCATCCACCCATCCATCCATCCATCCACCCACCCATCCATCCATCCACCCATCCATCCATCCACCCATCCATCCATCCATCCACCCATATCTGTGTTTTTTCCTCTGAAGATGGCCTCCCTCCCTTCATCATCTCTTGCGTCCTTGCAGATGCATGAATGGTGGCCAGAAGTGACCCCGGGGATGGAGTTCTCCAAAGTAAGCACCCAGTGCGGGCACCAAGTTCTGCTCGTGGGAGCCATGTTGTGTGCAAGGAGCTCACATCCTGTGCACGGTCCCATCCCATGGAGGAAGAGATCAGTATCTCCCTGGAGGTCGCTTGTCAGAGGGAGCAGGATAGGGCTGCTTCCCATGGGGCCCTGGGAGGAGATAAAGGGGATCATGAATCTACCCCACCCACCCCAGCCCTAGGAAAGGCAGCACCCCCTGGGCACACCCAGACCATCCACCCATCCATCCATTCATTCATCCATGCATCCATCCATCCATCCATCCAGCCATCCATCCATCCACCCACCCA